ATTTTCTCCTTGAGTGAGCGCAGAGAAGGTGGGGCGCTCAGGAGAATAAAAACATGGCCTAAATCTAGTTTTGAGGATACAGTAATCGCAAACTTAATTTGGGGATAGGAAATGGGCTATGATTCTTGCTACTTCTGTAGTATTGGAATTAATACATAAGCTGCTTTAAATATTATATCAATAGAGGGTATGGGAAATATCTATTTCCTGAAGTCCTTTAAAGAACATTTCAAGTCTATGTGCGGAAATTACAAATTTGTTTATAGCAGTGCAATAGCATAATACCTGTATTTTATATTTGTTAAATGTAAAATCACTTTTTTGTTCTGGTCTCCCATTTTGTTAAGAAAATGGGAGTAATCAATTACTCTGGATCAACCAAAAAAGTGTTTTGAGCTATAGGCTTGCATGCTGTATAATGAAATTAATTGTGTACGTGGTTTTGATTAGTGAGAAAACAATATGCTTTTTTTTATTTTCAGCTGTAAAAAATAAATGTCCTCCACCACCGCTTCCTCCTCATGCCCATATCATCACAGTTAGAAGAACATATCATAACGGAGACAAAGTTCGTATACAGTGTCCAAGTACCTTTGAAATAAGAGGATCTGAGGAAATCCAGTGTGACAAAGGAAAATGGACATCACCTCCTATTTGTATTGGTTAGTACTTTTGTGAAGACTGAAAACTGAACAGAAATGATTCTTCAAACAATGCCTTAATTTTCTGGAGAGCCTCAGTTTCCATATCTGCAAAACTGTTTATGTCCTCTTCTGTTAAAATGCCTGAGAGGTAAAGTGCTGCATAATTTGCAGACAATCTGTTGTTCACAGATTAAAGAGAAAGCATGAGCTAGGTGAATTCAACTGATATCTGTGTTGTGTAGTTCTCCCCTGGAATATTGATTTTATTACATCTTACAACACATAAGTGGATGTCTGTTTTGGTATTTGAAAATGAGTTATTTCTGAGAAAACTGGTTCTAAGTTTCTGCTATGGTTATAGGAACTATGGATAAATGGGAATCTGAGGCACCATCATCACTCGAGGCAGATGCAGCAATAAGGGCAAGCAAAACATATCGCAGTGAAGATATGAGTAGGTGAACATTGCTTTTCTATTTAAAAGGGACTTCAATACTCTCCAATGCTATTATAGGCATTTTATGACTCTCTTGCTATAGTACAGTTTCTTACTCTTAAAAATGTTTGCATGTGCTACAGATGTCAACGTAGCAATCTGAATGAATGAAAGGCCATTGTTGCTTGTTTCTAGTGATTATAAACTACACCTATAAGCCTGTGCTGTATTTGTAATTTTATTTCATACATTAGCATTTACCTTCAGGCATTTTGTACCCCTTCTGTTAATGTGTCTGAACATGCAAATTCATGAGTATTTTGCTGATCCTTTGATTAATAGTTCCAGTGAGGTTTCTTTTGTTTGTTTTGAACCACACATGGGCTAAACGTTTCAAGCAACAAACAAAGACAGTCTCATCACAGAAAAAGAATCTGTATTAAGTGTAAACCAGCAAGAGTCAAGAGTGGATATAGATGAGAAGTGTAGAGGGAAATAGAATGCCTGTCTGCAATTCAGTAAGGCAAGCGTAGAGTTTCTGAAAATGAAATTTGAAAAGAAATTATATTATCTATTATTAGATAATAATAGATAGATAAGTCTATTATTAGTCTGATGCTTTTGCCAGTGTTAATGCTGTTTCGAAGATCTAATTACCTATCTCCCTATTATGTATTAGAAATGCAGCAAGACTGTACCTCTCCACCTGTGATTAAAAATGGTGGTGTTCTTGGTCCATTATTAACAAGTTACAAAAATGGTTCCTCAGTAGAATATGGTTGTCAACATTACCATTTTTTGGATGGACCTAGTACTGTTTACTGCAAACAAGGAAACTGGACAGAACAACCAACTTGCTTAGGTAAGTCTTGTAAGAGAAAGAAAGTTTTGTCATACGTAATATAGAAAGGTAAAACTGGAAAGAACCTCTAGATAATCCTTTCATGACCACCTTTTCTTTTTCATTTGGGTTAGTAAAGATTCCAGAAACATGAGGATGAACCAAAATCAAATCTACCTAGGTCACTCCTGCTAGGTGTCCTCTGGCCTGTTCTTACAAACATCTAACTGGATTCCTCTGTTTTCCTCAGTGAGCTATTCTAGAACATAGCTACCCCTGTTACCTAGGAGGATTCTGTAATTTCGTTCTGCTATATTCTCCATTCAGTGAATTTCTCCCTATCCTTCAATAGATGTTTAGAAGGAATAACTGCAGCCATTGCCAAAATGGATTTTAGATATGATTAACAAGGAATACAATGAATTATTGGACTTTCATTTTTAAACCTTCAGCCTTTGTTTTTATTATGTGTCTTTATCATTTCATTCTGGGCTTTCTATTTTTTCTGTGCTGCCCTTATGTATGCTGTTCAAAACAAGGTATAGAACTCCCATTAGGAATTTACCAATACCAACACAGGAATACTACTTCTGATGATCTACAAGAGTTGTTCCTTTATCTTTCCTTCCTTCCTTCCTTCCTGTAACCAAATAATTCTATTTTACTAGCATACTTTGTTAAATTGACTCACTTTAAGTTTGTAATCTACTGTGAAAATGCAAATAAATAACTAGTTCCGTTTTAATTACGTATTTCTAAATGAATAAAATGTACCTTGTCTGGATTGAAAGGTCCAGATCAGCATTCTTGGATCTGAATTCTCAAACTTAACAAATCCCGTGAAATAATGAAAACTCATTTCCTATGAGTGTTATTTGTCTCCTAAGTGTCCAAATAACCACATCATCCTTTCCATGTTTTCTGAGATTTCTTTTCAACCCTCACCTAATCAGACCAGAAAGAGCATGTAATGTAGTTTGTTGCGGGAAAAGATCCATGCCAATTTGTTCTTATGGAGCTGTTGTCAGAATGTGTAATAACTGATTTCTCCTTGCCTTTCCCTCAGCAAAGTGTTAATAAGGGCTTCTATCAGGCAATGATTCTCGCGGAACTTGTAGAAATCTATATTTGTAACTATCCCTCTGTCAGGCTTTATTGAAGTTGGACAGTGGTTTCAAAAGTTAACGAGGACAACTGTAATGGAAAGCTAGGCTACCTGATGGGATCCTGGCACCAAGTTTTAAGAAACCTGTCAGAAAGCAACCAAACCAATATTGACTTTAAGTAACTTGAAAAAGCCCAAAGAACACCACAAAACTTCCAAAAGGTTTTAACAGTGACAAAGCAAAGAAAAAAAGCAAAGGGAATTGTCAAAACACTTCCTTAGGTTAACAGTTTAAATTTACTGTGTATTAACTACTACTATCTTCGAAGGGCTTACCAACCTGATAAGCCAAATCTGACAGGTTAATTTTGATGAATGACTATTTTCATTATAAAAAGTCCTTTCAAGTTACAGTAAAGAAGTTCTTTTCTTCTTCAATAGTAAACCCAGGCTGCCATATTTTTACAAATGCTCATAGAAACCAGTTTGTCAGAAGTGTGTCTTTTCTGTAATTTACTGTTCCAAGTTTAGGCTTTTTTTTGCATGTTATTTCTCTTACTTCAGCCCATTTCTTTACATTTGCATTTTGTTTTATGCATCTATAGTTCTTTTTCTTGCAAGGTTCAAAAACATTTTAGAAGTATTGATTTAGATTTCTCTTCGTCGACTCATACAAAACAGAGCTAAGAAATCACTTAAGGTTGCTGTCCTGGTTTTGGCTGGGATAGAGTGAAATTTTCTTCCTAGTAGCTGGCATAGTGCTGCGTTTTGGATTTAGGATGAGAAGAATGTTGATAACACACCGATGTTTTAGTTGTTGCTAAGTACTGCTTATGCTAGTCAAGCACTTTTCAGCTTCCCATGCTCTGCCAGGTGCACAAGAAACTGGGAGGGGGCACAGCCAGAACAGTTAATCCAAACTGACCAAAGGGCTATTCCATACCATGTGACATCATGCTCAGTATATAAACTGGGGGGGGTTGGCCGGGGGGAGCAATGGGAACTGTCTGGGTATCAGTCGGCGGGTGGTGAGCAATTGCATTGTGCATCACTTGCTTTGTATAGTATTATTAGTGGTGGTGGTGGTATTATTATTATACTATTATAATATTGTTGCTGTTATTGTTATTATATCGTTATTGTTATCATTACTATTTTACTTCGTTTCAATTATTAAACTGTTCTTATCTCAACCCGGGAGTTTTCTCACTCTTACTCCTCCAATTCTCTCCCCCATCCCACCGGGGCAGGGGGAGTGAGCAAGCGGCTGCATGGTGCTAAGTTGCTGGCTGGGGCTAAACCACGACAGTTGCTTTTTATTGAAGTATGCTTTTATTTCCTAGAACCATGCACTCTTAACAGAACTGATATGAACAGCAACAACATAGAGTTGAAATGGAGACAGGAAGAATTAATTTTCCTACACGGTGATCTCGTAGAGTTTGAATGTAAACAGGGATACAATTTTCTCCAGACTACCATTCCATCTCCTGGGAGGACACAGTGTAACCACGGCAGACTGAAATATCCGAAATGCATTATGCAAGGTAAAACAATACCTTCTTTTACTGCCTTTTTAATTAATCAATCTCAAACCTATTTAGAGTTAATTTGCTTTGGCAGTGCAGGTCTTGAGTCTGTTGTAAATAATGGATGTTTAGGGTTCAACGACACAGATATGCACAGATATCCTTGCACAAGACAGCTATATTGTTAAATATATCTAAGCATGGAAAAATAATTTACCTTCTTTGATGGGGAAGGCTGTAGAAAGGAGGGAGGAGCTCTTCTCCAAGCCCAGGGAACTCAAAGCTCTGTAGAAAGACAGCCGTAAACAATTAAATGCACCCAAGGGATTTCTTATGGTTAGAATTAAGCAGGAGATTGCATTCTGATCTGAGACATAATGAAATAGTAAGAAAATATACTATCTGAGAGTTGGTATCCTAGTGTTGACAGGCATTTAAAGCTGCTGATTTGTTAGTTTCTTAAGCTGAATGTTTGTCAAATGTTTTTCACGTTATTCCAGCTCCTACAGAAAAATGTGACTCTCCACCTTCTATTGCAAATGGAGCTCTTACTCTCCCACCCTTGACCCAGTATGACAGTGGTTCTTCAGTTCAGTATAGTTGCTCTGACTATCATTTTTTGCAAGGATCCGAGAGAATCTACTGTTCTGAAGGACAGTGGACTTCACCACCAGTTTGTATAGGTAGGCATGATAAGATAAATAAGCACTTCTCTCTGTAATTCATAGAATCATAAAATAGTTTGGAATTGACCTTTAAAGGTCATCTAGTCCACCCACCCTGCAATGAGCAGGGACACCTTCAACTAGATCAGGTAGCTCAGAGCCCCATCCAACCTGACCTTGTACGTTTCCAGGGATGGGGCATCTACCACCTCTCTCTTGAGTGACCTGTTCCAGTGTTTCACCACCCTTATTGTAAAAAATGCCTTCCCTATATCTAGTCTGAATCTGCCCTCTTTTAGTTTAAAACCATTGCCCCTTGCCCTATCACTACAGGCCCTACTAAAAAAATTTGTCCCCATCCGTCTTATAAGCCCCCTTTGAGTATTGAAAGGCTGCAATAAGGTCTCCTGGGAGTCTTCTTTTCTCCAGGCTGAACAACCCTAACTCTCTCTAATTTCAGATACTTAGAATTTATAAATTGAGTATTGCCAACTAGAACTTTAAGATCTCAACTTCAGTTTTTCCAGTTAGAGATGAAAATTTTAATAGAAGCAAATGTAAGCTTGTATGGCTGCTTTTTTTTCCTGAAATATCACATGCCTGCAGTATCCAAAAATACAGTGATTTCATGTATAATGTATTAAGAGAATGGGAAATAATCTACAGTTTTAGTGTAGACTAGTCAAAATGATGATACTTCAAAAATAATTGATTTATTAACACTGATTAAGTCTCTCTTCTTTAGAGCCATGTACTTTGTCAAAAAATGAAATGGAGAAAAATAATGTGCTGCTGCAAGAGTTCTATGAGAATCAAGTTTACCTTTACCATGGGGATTATGTTGGATTTTACTGTAAACAGAATCATATTGGAGCAGAATCTGGTACAACTTTATTTCAAGTGCAGTGTAAGAGAGGACAGCTGATGTATCCAAGATGTGTTGAAAGATGAAAATAAGTAAGGACTTCAGGAAAGCCTATAGGCAAGGTATGTACATGTTCTTTATCTGGTGTTAGCAGCTGAATTAAGATGACCTCATATTTTCAAGATCACTACAGTCAGCTTTGAGAAATGAGTGTTCAGTGGCATTGTTGGGTCTGATCTGAAGGGGGAGGGAAGTGAACGTGCTTTGTGGTATGAGGACTGGGAATACAGCAGAAGAATGCAATATTGGCATATGCATGGAAAACTTAGGATGAAGGAGTTTTGTAAGGCTTACAGTGATAAAGTTGAGGATGCATTACAATCTGGAAGACTTGAGCAATGCACCATGATGAGAAGATGCTGAACAAGTAGTGCCCTTTGTGAGGATACTGGTGGTTTTGATAGCATGAGTGCTTTGGTGACTATAAAATATAGCTAAATTGAGATATAATTTCATGCCCTTCAATGTTGTGGTGTTAAATTTTACAGAGAAAGGAGAGGCCTATTTTTTTTTTTTTTTTTTTTGCACATCTTAATAGCACCTATGTCTCCTTTCACAGGTAAGAAGCCTCTAAAGGACAAGGCTTGAGGGACGAGGGAAATAAAGCAAGTATTAAAAAAAAAATTGTGTTAAATGGCTCTATGAAACCATTTAAAGCCTAAAAATATGCAAATTCTACTCATTAGTTATTATTAGTCTCAAAAAAACTGAAAAAAGCCAAGCAAGCATCTTTGTTTTGTTAACTGAGAGCTTTTAAACTATTAAAATGTCCAGTCCAACTACTTTGTATGATTTCCTTTGACACTTAAACGTTGGTACTCTTGGGGCTCTACCTTTGGACGTGTTGTGTGACTGAAGATATGAAGAAAATTCAGAAATATAGACAATGTTTGCCTCCCATCCATTTTAGTATGTTTTAATAAAAAAGTCACTGTAAGGGTCTCTTCTGTATTTTATCTCTATACTCCATCTTTCTGTGATATCATTGCATGTATACTGTTCTGTATGGTTTTCCAAGGCTTTTGTGAGTGCTATGTGAATAAATAAAAAACCAAAGAAATTAAAGCATTCAAGAAGTAGAAAAATTCTGCTTATTTAATCAAAACCCAGTCAAACATTTGGTGGGAAAAAAGGTTGATAACAATAGCATTCTAAAACGTTTTCAAAAGATTAAAAAGTCATTGCTTTGTAAGGTGGTATTTAAAAATGAAGACAAATAACAATGAGATTTAGCAATTTAATATAATGAACTTTTGATGTGTGACATGTAGATCTGAGCTAGATGTTCACTATAGCTTTCATTTCTAGGTCATGTTATGCACAACAATTGCAGTGTGAATTGGTGAGTTCTCAGTTAAGAAATAATGTCAGAACTTCATTTAAAAAAAAGATTGGTGATAAGTTTTTAACCAGTAAATTTTGGTGTATTGGGCATTATTACCTTAATAGCTGATATCTGTGCTTGCTGCGCATCCACAAACTATTTGAGCTGAGGCCAAAATACATAGAAATTCATCTCAGTCTGAATTTTTACATCCTAATCATTCCTATGTCTGAGAGAGAGAAGAAAAACTCTATTTTCCTTGAACATGATGGACTAGATCTGTAAGCAAAATCTTGCAAGGCCACTAGTGCATCTGTGACCATATCAGTAACACCACACGAGGTCAACATTACCTAGGTATCAGCATCAGCAAAACCAAATTTGAATACACATGTAACCAAACTGGGATGAATGGGGAAAAAGTAATTTGGGGCAGGTTGTTTATTTGGAAGGAGACCAGGGTGGAAAAAGGGAAGTTACAAGCATGGTGGAAAGAGGATTGATAAACAAGAAAAAGGGTAATAAGGTCTGCACATGATATAACTGAGACTCTCCACGGCTAACAGTCAAGCAGCTCTGCTCTTGATCACCTTAACTTAGATCAGGCCAAAACGCCAAATGTGTAGTCTTGACCGTACCACAGAGATCAAACCTGTTTCCATGGTCTGGAAGACCTGTTCAGGGTAGGGAGGGATGGCACATTCTCTGGCCAGCAGGAAGAAACACCTGAGACAAACAGATGGAGCATCCACATATCACTATGTTAGTGCCTGTTCCAGGTCCGATGGCATCAGCATCTTCCCAGTTGCTTCCTAACACCAGTCTGTGCCAGTGTATTTGATTCTCTTCTTTGGTCTTGGGGGGTTTTTTGTTTGTTTTTTTTTTTGTTTGGGTTCCCCCTCCCCCCACCCCCAGCATCTTCAGGACAGCATCCAGGTATTTTCTCTGGTAAAGAGAATGTGGATTTCTTAATTTTCCCCTTTTCACTTTCTTTTGCATGAATTATTTGAAGACAAGCTTGCTGCTTGCAGTTTGAAATCTGGGCCTATGTTATTTCTGTTAATTAGCACAAAAGAACTAAGTGAAGGAAAATGAGAGCTACAGCTTGGGTTTCAAAATCTGTAAAAGCTCAGAAATATCTGTGTGAAATCTTGAAAAAGAAAGATTTACAATGTGAACATTAGAAAACCAAGTGAACACGGAATTCTTACAGAAGTTAATGAAGACAGAGGAAGTGATCAAGTTGCTTTTTTGGAAGGTAAGGAAATTGTGTTAACAACTCCTTTCCCCTGCCTTAATTTGTCCAGAAGGTATTCATGCAAATGTGGCTAGGCAGTGTGGGAAGGCATAGATCAGCTACACACACTGCTGTGGTAGCAGAGAAGCTGCTGCCGGCACGCAGCTCAGGCATGCTGTTGCCGTCGTGTGGGTGGCATGCTGAAAGCACATCTGGTAAAATGCTGTTCTTGGTGTATGTGGGATATATAGTGCAAATGAGGGTCAGCAACATACAAGCCCAGGAGTGTTTCTGACCTCCTAAGTGTATTTGGAAGAAGAGAAAGAATTTTTATCTTTGATATTATTTGCTTAGACTTACCAAACCCTGGTGCTAGAATAACTTTTGAAATAACCATCAACATACCAGAGACCTCAGTTTAACCCTTTAACAGTCCTGAACTTCTGTTGGCTTTCTGCATAGTTAGGCATAGAACTGCAGAATAAGAATCAGGTTGCTCAGGTCCCTGTCTGGCTCAGTTTTTAATATCTCTTTTAATATCTAACTGGAACTTCTTTTGCTGCAGATTCGTGTCTTTTACCTTTCATTCTATCACTGTGCATCTCTGAGAAGTGTATGGCTCCATCTTCTCCATACTGTCCCATTAGGAAGCCAAAACCAGAAATAAGGTCTCCTCCCAGCTTTTGCTTCTTAAGAAACACTGAGAAAAGAATGGAGCTTTTTTGGTTGTGTGAGGCATGATAAAAATAATTATTTTATGTTTCTGTTCATGCCTTTCCTTGTGTAGCGGAGCCTTCCAACAGCATCAGAATGGCAATAGATCTCAGCTCTGTCATTTCATGGTGATAGCGCTGGCTTGGGAGTCAGTAGGTGATATGATAACATTTCTGCACCAAGTTTGGCTTGTGCAAATTTTTTCAAGATCAGCCTTTTATTTGTTATCATACAGTCATAGAATAGTTTGGGTTGGAAGGGACCTTTAAAGATCACCTAGTCCAACCCCGCTGCCATGGGTAGGGACATCTTTTACTAGACCAGGTTGTTCAAAGCCCCATCCAACCTGACCTTGAATATTTCGAGGGATGGGGCATCCACAACTTTTCTGGGCAACCTGTTCCAGTGTCTCACTACCCTCATTGTAAAAAAAATTGTTCCTTATATTGAATTTAAATCCACCCTCTTTCAGTATAAAACTGTTCTCTCATGAGAGAGGCGTTTCTTGTTGCCTAACAATCTTACGCTTAGGGGTTTTTTTGCAAACATCAGCTGAAAAGGCATTTATGTTTATTTATAGGTTGTAATTTCTGTTTTCCAATTAAGTTCTCATATCCATGGTACAGAATTGAGGAAACTTGACCTTTGTCTGTATATAAACTGACTGATCAGGGCAAGTCCTGTAACAGGCAACATTTTGAGTGCTATATGTGCTGATTCAGACTGGCACATTTTAACCTGGGTGAACCTGTGTCACCATGAAGTTTCAGCAACTTACATTGGCTTTAAAATGCTTCATGTAGTGAAGCTGGTGGGCCTGTTGCCCGGGCCTGTTGCCCAGACCTGTTGCCTTTGAGGAGCTCTAGATGAGGCATAAGAATATTTGGTAAATGTAAAAAGACCTTTCTCTTTAAAGAGCAGAACTAGGGAAGATGGAGGGAGATTAAAACTCTCCGGAACACTTGTTGGAAGTAGAATTCAGAGAAATTTCCTATGTTTTAATAAGTGGTGATTTACTTTCTGAAGCCCTGATGTGAAATTGATGGGTTCTGAAGTCAGTCAGGTATCATGGACCTCCAATAAAATATCTGATATCAGAAGGGGAAGGTAGTTGTCTTGGAGAATTTTAAGTAGAGTGGATACAAGAGCAGCACCACACCACTCAGTGGCATATAATTTAAACTGGTTTACTGAGCAGCAGTTTGGTAGAGCAAGAGGACAGTAATTTCCACTGCGAGCTTTCTGTTCTATGACACCAACAAATCAAAGGCTCTGCTCTTCTGGTCCATGTTAAACCAACACCATGGTCCCAGGAGAATGGACCACTCGCTCCAACCAGTAGATGTGTCAGGTGCTGGCCCTACACACAGTAGGCTCAGTCTTGTACACAGTGCTGGACATTTGTGTATGGAGTTCCCCTTCCCTTGTTCTGAGAAGCTTTTTTTTTTTTTTCAGTATGAATTAGATTGTCAGCATAACCTGCTAGTGGCCTCTCCAATCATGGAGACCCAAGCTACTTGATTTTATCTGCATGTGAGTCTTTAAAGATTGTGTTGCTGTTTAACCCCAGCCGGCAATGAAGCACTACACAGCCGCTCACTCACCCTTCTCCTCCGCAGTGGGATGGGGGAGAGAATTCGAATGGCAAAAGTAAGAAAACCTAGAAAGAACAGTTTAATAATTGAAATAAAATAAAATATAGTAATAATAAAAGTGTAGTGAAAAGGAAAACAACAGAAAAGAGAAAGAGG